GACGCACAAGATGCACATGGGCGCGATCCATTCGTCATGCAAGGCGTCCATCGGCCACGACGACGACGACGACGACGACGCGTAGGTCATCATGTTTCCGAGAAAGTTGCTCACACACGATGTCGTCAGTAGGACGAGCCACGTCGTGGCCACCGATGACCAGCTCGCGATCGAGCGCAAGGATGTGTTCTATTTTGCGTACGACTTATTTATCCATAAGATAAATGATTCTTCATTTATTCCAACCTTGGTAGAGTCTTAGCCTTCTAAGCTACATGATCGTGTTTGATTAAATGATTCTTCATTTATTCCAACCTTGGTAGAGTCTTAGCCTTCTAAGCTACTTCACCGTTTTTGATTAAATGAGTCTTCATTTATTCCAACCTTGGTAGAGTCTTAGCCTTCGAAGCTACATGATCGTGTTTGATTAAATGAGTCTTCATTTATTCCAACCTTGGTAGAGTCTTAGCCTTCGAAGCTACATGATCGTGTTTGATTAAATGAGTCTTCATTTATTCCAACCTTGGTAGAGTTTATCATCGTGTTTGATACTAGTACATATTCAAACGATTAGAACGGGATGCACAGTGTTCTGGGGACTCTCGCGCACCGAAGAGCAGGCGCATATCCACGCGATCCGCGCGTTTTCCAAGGCCAGCGTCAAGCACATGGAGGTAGAAGACATGGACTTCTGCTACGGAGCCACGAGTAGGTATGTTTGGTCGACAGGACTTTATTCACTCGAATGAGTAGTAAGTACTACTTACACAGGTAGTTCATCCCTGTTCTAGTGTCATGAACGACGTGATCACGCTGAGCTCATTCCGGTCGTCGGAGAAGATTGCGATTTCGTTTGCGATGGCGCAGTCATGCAAGCTGGACGTGTTTGAAGAGCGCGTGGAAGACTCGACGAAGGAGACGCGCCACATCCCGCAGACCCTCGCCAACACGGGCGAGATCAAAAAGTACTCGCAAAAGGACATCTCGCAGCTGATTGGTCGGCTGTTTATCGAGGTACTAGTAGTAGTACTAGAAAGAGTGATGGTCACGAGTGTGGGTGTATGATATTTTAGCGCAGTGACATCAACCTGAACTCGGACATGCTGGACGATCCCGACTTCTTCTGGGACGACGACGAGTACCAGCCACTGTACAAGAACATGATCAAGTACTTGGACGTGGCGAATAGGGTGCATATCCTCAACACGCGGCTGGACGTCCTTCGTGAATTGTAAGGAGCTCTGGATGTGATGAATGATACTAAGTATGGGAATGCATGGCTTAGGCTGGACGTGCTGAGTGAGCAGCTGGAGCGGCAGCATGCCACTAAGCTCGAATGGATCGTGATCTGGCTGATCGTGGCCGAGGTGGTCGTCAAGGTCTTCTGGAGCATCCTCGTCAAGGACATCCTC